GGTAGCAGCGTTATTAATCGTGACCACTTTTGAAATAAAATAACACCTACAGCATTTATCTCGGTCGCACTAAGAAGTGTAGTCCGACGTAACGCCAGCTAGCTGCTAGGCGTTGTAAACACGACATTCGCAGTAATAACTCGCTGAGGCGGTTAAAAGGACTCATCCCTCACCTGGTACGGACTAGCCAATTTTAGAGCTACTACAACATTAACCAGCGAGGAGAAGTTCGTTGCCCAAGAGCTACGGAAAGGCGTAGTTACCGTCACTACAGAGCAGGGGGACAGACGCGATGATACAACTAGGTTGGACCACCAGCGGCCAAGTTGCGTACTAAGGACTAGAGTGTCTTTTATTGCGGAATGCATAGGTTCGATATGGAAAAGACTTGAAGACAGGTGATCGGACAATGGAAAGGACTACACGTATGCGAATTCTCTTTAGGTTTTTGACTGCGGACGAAGAAATCAAGTTCTCTGGCGGGAAAATCGAAAGATGCTTCCACCGCTGACTAGTAATCTTGTCAAACACAGTACGTCGAGGAGCTGGCTTTATCTGTTTGTTTTGACGTAAGTCCTAGACACCGTGACGCTCTTGAATGGCAACTTGAGCAAAGGATCTTTTTTTCGGGCTGCGGAAATAAGGGTAATTATAGGCTCCAGACAATTTCCAATACTTGCACATTTTTGAGGTTATTACTGGCAGCGGCAAAGGTCACGCGACCAAACAGAGCACTTGACCGAGTACGCAATAAACGCACAAGACCGTGTATGTGGGTGCTTATACGCGTCGTGGTCGATAGCTGCCCCCTGTTGGCGTCAGCTCGTTGGAGCACATGCGTTTAAGCCACGAGACCGGAATCCAGTAAAATGCTGGCGGTGGGGTGGTCGGCTAAGAGGTCGTAGGGTACGCGAACACGGAATAGTTGTCAAGCCCAGGGTCGCATCCGATAACCGAGAATGCAGGCTGATTAAATTAAAAGATGTACTCGACAACCCACATGGTGCCTTTGGTATTAATGAAGTCAAGCAAAATATGACATAGGTGAGGGTCCGTAGCTCATCCAGGCTTCCGAGCTGGAAGTTAAAAACCGGAATGTGAAACCTTTCTAGTTGTGAAAAGTATCTTTATACTATAACATCATTGAATAATAATCTCAGTGAACAGCTAACCATCACAGTACTGCCAAGGTAATTCAATTCCATTCAATTCATATCCAGCATTGGATACCCAGCGACTCCAAATGTCAGAGGTGTTTCCTCATATTCGCCAAATGTGGGCGCTCTGAATAGCCGACAGCCGCAGTCCGACGAGGACTTCAATTAAAAAATTTAATCGAGAGCCCCATTCTACCCACCCTATGGCCTTAACACCATTTAAACTGATGGCGACTCCTAGAAACAATTACCAGTTGACGGGCGAAATCGGTCTAACGACCCGATTTTGTTTTCATTTTATCAGCAGCCCTACATGAAGGCCAGACTCTACACTAGAAACGTTATAGCTTTCTCTATTCAATCGAACAGTCCATTTTTGGTTGTGTCGAAGAGAATGAAGAAGGGTCCTGACACAGTTGCCGCGCTAGACGGTATTAAACGTAGGCAAAGCTGAAGTAACATATATCTCGCAGTGAGGTTCGTTGACAACAAGCATTGTTGAGGTTACGGTGTTACCACTACATTGTCAGCTGCCACTGGTTACGAAACCCAAAACCCAGAAGTAAAATAAAGAATCGTTAAAGACGATATTATTAATACCGGCATTACTGCAGGAA